GAATCAAAATTCATGGAGACTGCTACTCTTCTTACTGGGCAGTATTTCAAGGTTCTGATCAATACAACTGCAGGCCCACCGACTCAGGCTATGAAGCACTGCCTCATTTCTGTTTCTTAGAGATGACTCAAGTAGGGGCCTGAGAAACCACTGGGAGCTGTACTGCTGTACTTCACTTTAAATAATTCAGCACATGATGTGTGGTTGCTTATTGAGGGTAAGGTGTTATAGTAAGGACTTTGATCAAAACTGGTTAGGATGTAAAGAAATTCCAAAAAGAACAGTGCAAGGGGACAGAACGTAGTTCTAGAATCTTATAGATTTCCATTCACATTTAAGAATGTGTTTTGCTCAAACAATCTGATGTTTCTGGACACCAAACCTCTCCAGTGTTAAATGTGAATAATATTTTGCGAATGCAAAATTGAGATGTGGAATATGACTGGAAATTTCCTTGATATTTCCAGGTATGAGAGTCTAAATGCTTCATAGAGATTGGACCCTGTAATGGCCTGTTTTGTTTTTAGGGAGAAGACAATTCAAATAAATATGATGGAAATGGTTTAGGGTATTTAAATTGAAGAATCCATAAGACAATTTTTGATGACTTAAATACAGAATCTCCCTCACGGTAGGGTGGTGAGGATCAAATAAGAGAATGAATGAAGAGGAACTTTTTTTTTTTTTTAAGATTTATTTATTTATTTGAAAGTCCCAGTTACAGAAAGATAGGGAGAGGCAGAGAGAGAGAGAGAGAGAGAGAGAGAGAGAGAGATTTTCTATCCATTGGTTCACTCTCCAAATGGCTGCAACAGCCAGGGTTAGGCCAAACCGAAGCCAGGAATCAGGAGCTTCATTGAGGTCTCCCATATGAGAGCAGAGACCCAGCTACTTGAACCATCTTCCACTGCTTTGTTAGGTGCATCACTAAGGAGCTGGATCAGAGAGGGGAGAATCCAGAACTGGAATTGGCACCCATATGGGATGCTGGCATCACAGGTGGCAGCTTAAACTACTAGTATCCTTTTAAAATGCAAAACATCAAATAAATATTAGCCATCCTAATTGCTACATTGCATTCTTCTACATAATCTAGACATTTGTCTTGTGTTTTAATCCACACTTCTACCTTTCATACTTGAGATCCCAGACTTGTCCCTGATGTTTGTGGAAGAATGCAGCTAACAGCAGCTTCTGAGAGTTTCCAGTTTTCTGTTTTCCCAGACACTGGTGATGGACACTGAAGGGGGTGATATACCACCAGTTATGTTGGAGTCTTTTTCCACTAGGCTTTATCCTTTCCACATCTTGAATTCATGTGAAAAATGGCCCAAGTAAAAGTTTATTTTTGTCACAGTTTCTGTCTTATTTTGAGTGAGGAGGTAGATTTATATTATTTAAAATATATTCCCTCATTTTTAATATAATGTGTCTGATCCAAATCAAACCAGCAATTAATAGGCTCCTTTGCCCAGCATGTCAGTGTGCCCTTTCTTTCTGTTTGAGTTCTGCTTTCTCTCACCTGAACTTCCTTCTATTGCCATACTCTGAGGCGTCTAGAGGAGTTATCCTTTTTTTTTTTTAGAGATTTATTTATTTATTTGAAAGTTGGAGTTACAGAGAAAAGGGGAGGCAGAGAGAGAGACAGAGAGAGAGGTCATCCATCCACTGGTTCACACCCCAATTGGCTACAATAGCCAGAGCTCACCTATCCAAAGTCAGGTGCCAGGAGCTTCTTCCAGTTCTCCCACATGGATGCAGGGGCCCAAGGACTTGGGCCATCTTCCACTGCTTTCCCAGGCCATGGTAGAGAGCTGGATCAGAAGTGGAGCAGCCAAGACTCAAACCAGTGCCCGTATGGGATTCCAGTACTGCAGGCGGCAGCTTTACCCACTATGCACAGGACCGGCCCCTAGAGACATTATCTTGACATGATAGTTAGGCTAAGGCTTGGGGAGAGACAGCTAGCTGGGAGTCAGGGATGTTCATATGCAATTAAAATATCACCAAAGAAAGAAGGGAATGAAGCTCACTGGACAACCTCCATTCAAGACAAAGAAAAGTGGCCTGGTTCTGGTAATCCAGTCTACTGAAACATTTATTGTTGGGTGAATCAACAACTTGAGAGACAAAAAGTTTTTTTTTTTTCCTTAAAGTAGCACATAAACTGTGAGCAGAATTATGTATTCTGTGGCCTCCCTCCAACTCCTTTATAGTTAAACCTTCGAAAGCAAAATTTTGATGTTGCAAAGGTGACAGGCTGCAGAATTGGGGAGTTTATTAAGAATTTAAATTAACTAAGGGATTCTGCAACACTTCTACATCGCAGAGAAAGGGCCCAACATTTTCTGGTCCCAGGTTGACACTGCTGACATGGTAAGATCACAGGACCTGGGACTTCTAATACTGTTTGAAAATATTTCTCAGCTTCCACACACCCTTTGCTTTCCCTACTTCCTTTGGAAGAAAAAGAGTTTTGTCTGATTCCTGTACTACGCCTTATGTGACCATACGCTATTATGGTGTCAGAACACCTTAATGAAAGCAGCATTGTTAGTTCACAGTCCTTGTTTTTTTTTAGGTTTAAGATTAAAAAATTGTACCTTTGTAGTCTCTCTCTCTCTCTCACTCTCTCTCTGGGTGTGTGTGTGTATAGAAGACCTTATTTTCTAATTGTTTGTTTTGCACTGTAAATACTTGTGTACAGCTTTTGTCATCTCATTGGAAGCTCTACTGAAAGTTTGAGTAGCTTATCTGGCCTATGTCCTCTTGACCTATTATCAGTATTCCAAAAATGTTGGGATGTGACAGAATATATGTGTGGAAATGCAAGTATTGTGTCTCTCTTCTCATTTCTAAGCAGTGTGTATGGAATCTATGGTCATTTTTCATCCCTCTAAAGTATGTTCTTAGAGTAACTGAGACTGTACCTTCAGAAATATGGTGTGAAACCTCCTGCTAGACAATGACAGATTATTTTAGGATAAAAATGACATACCTGTTTATATCAGATACCTGAACACTTAATGTTGAAAAAAGGCAAAAGCCTTTTCTTTTTGGAAAGGCCAGATGCTTAACTCAACACCTACCAGAGTATGCTGTGAGAAATAGTAGCTCTGCCAGACGAAAACTTGATTCCAAATGTCTAGAGTTTCATGGAGAACAAGTTTGGAAAACCCCATTAATACTGTTAACATACGCAAAAAATCACATTTTAACTGCCGGAATTCTCAACAATTTTAATAAGCTAGTAGGTTCTGTGAAGTCCTCAGGGAGGGGAGAGAGTTCATACACCCCAAACCATTTTGAGAAATGTAGGCTAGCTTGTTGGACAACCACTTACTAAGAATGACTCATTCAGGCATATTGTAGGATCAAGATAAGTAACAGAGGAGCCACATTTTCCCACTGAAATCACCGACTGAATAAACACTTATGGGACTCTCCTTGGCCAAGTCTGGAAATAGTTTAGGTGTAAATTAAATGGCTTCCAAAAGTTGTCTGGAAAAAATGCTTCTTGAATATGAGATACTGGTTTAGTGCTGGTAACAACTCCCCAGAAAGTGAAGCTTTAAACATAGACAGCTGGCCAGAAGAACTGACTCCTCCCTAGGAGATTTGGGGAACATTGAGGATGGCTGAGTGTTTTCAGAGTGATGTCAGAAGAGGGGAATTTGCATGTAACATTGGAGAACTTAGGAATTCTCTCTTAACATGGAAGTCAGTCTTTCTGCTTGAAAGTCTCTAACATTTACAAATGTCCATGTTGATGAAAATAGCTTCATGGCGGAGGTGTGGAATTCCTAAGTTTTTCTTGGTGCTGGGCTAGAAGGATGTTCATACAGGTTTTGTGTGCCGAATGGGGTAAAACTGCTGGACAATTTCCAAAAATAGTTTTAGTACCAAAAGAGCAGAACCTGATTGTATTAATAGACAGGTGAAGTGAGGTTTCATTTTTTTTTTTTTTTTTTTTTTGACAGGCAGAGTGGACAGTGAGAGAGAGAGACAGAGAGAAAGGTCTTCCTTTGCCGTTGGTTCACCCTCCAATGGCCGCTGCGGCCGGCGCGCTGCGGCCGGTGCACCACGCTGATCTGATGGCAGGAGCCAGGTGCTTCTCCTGGTCTCCCATGGGGTGCAGGGCCCAAGTACTTGGGCCATCCTCCACTGCACTCCCTGGCCACAGCAGAGAGCTGGCCTGGAAGAGGGGCAACCGGGACAGAGTCCGGCGCCCCGACCGGGACTAGAACCGGGTGTGCCGGAGCCGCAAGGCGGAGGATTAGCCTAGTGAGCCACGGCGCCGGCTAGGTTTCACTTTAAAAGTTAATTATTCAAAAAATTTGAGGGGGCTGGCGCCATCTAGCAGTGGCGCAGTGGGTTAAAGCTGCGGCCGGTAGCACCGGCATCCCATATGGGTGCCAGTTTGAGTCCCGGCTGCTCCTCTTCTAATAAAGCCCTCTGCTATGGCCTGGGAAATTAGTAGAACTCCTTGGGCCCCAGCAGAAAGTGTGGAAGTGTGGAAGACCTGGAAAAAACTCCTGGCCCCTGCATTGGATCAGCTCAGCTCTGGCCATTGTGGTCATTTGGGATGTGAACCAGTGGATGGAAGACCTCTCTGTCTCTCTCTCTCTGGCTCTAGCTCTCTCTGTAACTCTTCCAAATAAATAAAATAAATCTTTAAAAACAAAGAAATTTGAACACAAAAGTGATGATAATTAAGAAAATTTCAGAAAATCTGCAGATGAACTCTTTAACAGGGGGAATACCACAGACATCCCCTTCTCTCCTGAGGATGGCAGAGTGTGATAATTCACAATAGAAGCACCAATAGAAACTGAGAGGTCTCTGTGTTGGTCCTGCAGCAGAAAGACAAGGTGTTCATCAGATAGTTCCAAAGTCCTGGGTATGCCCCAAAAATCCACTGGAGGCAAAGCCAAGAAACCACCTACATATTCAACTTCTCTAGCTTCACATTAGAAATTTATATTTTTTCCCCATTGTAGGTCATAAAATATATAAAAACAAGCTGGATTGTTGCAACGCATGATCCAGGTATGTAATAAATTTTTGTAACTTAAAACTTTTCTTTTTTTTTCTTTATATGTAAAAAATTAAGGCGATAGACCAGGCTGTACAAATGGTTCTCAATATGCTAAAATTCAGACTGTTTTCAACATTCAAATCTGAAAAATACCATTCCTAAAACTACTTAGACTTTCTCTTACATTTTTCAGAGGTTAATGCCATAAAAATTGTAAGTATCACAGTTTATTTATTTATTTTTTTTGAGAGGCAGAGTTAGACAGTGAGAGAGAGAGACAGAGAGAAAGGTCTTCCTTTGCCGTTGGTTCACCCCCTAAGTGGCCGCTGCGGCCGGCGCCTTGCAGACGGAGCGCTGTGCTGATCCGAAGCCAGGAGCCAGGTGCTTCCTCCTCGTCTCCCATGCAGGTGCAGGGCCCAAGGACCTGGGCCATTCTCCACTGCACTCCCAGGCCACAGCAGAGAGCTGGACTGGAAGAGGAGCAACCAGGACATAACCTGGTGCCCTGACCGGGACTAGAACCCATGGTGCCGGTGCCACAGGCAGAGGATTAGCCAAGTGAGCTGCGGCGCCGGCCGTAAGTATCACCATTTAATTTTGAATCATGAAGAAGGATATTTTACTATGATATAATAATTACTTATCTTTTTAAACATTGGCTAATGGAGGAACAGGGAAGGGAAAGATGTTCAAGGTTTTCATTCTAAAAAATAATTGCAATGTTATGGCTAAAGTTTACAATTCTGTTTAATGTCTAATGAAAATCAAGAGAACAGTTTAATATTTTTGCTCAGTTTATCATCTTTCATTGACCTTTCTAAATGTAAAGGCTTAAACATCTGCTGATAGCTTAGAATAAATAATAATTTTATATGTTTAACACTTTAACAAAGAATATATTTCATTTGATGAGAGTTCTAGTCGAAGTAGAAGGAATTCTCAAATTACTGGGCAACTGATTTTAAATGTAAGCATGCTTTCAAGAGCATGGACACATCTTAATAATTGTTTCTATATACTCAAGAAATCCTAGACCAAGCTTGAGTGACCATGCAGAAGACAAGGAAATATCTAAGACTTTATGATTGAGTTGTATAGTAAAATCATTAACAAAATGTGTAATTAAAAAAAGCTTGATGAATAATAAAGACATTCATGAAGAAAGAGGACTTTATAGTAATGATAGGATTTGAATCTGACATTAAAGGAGGGATAAGAGGCCTGGTGTTGTGCCATAGTAAGACTGCTAACTGTGATGCTCGCATATCACATGGATGCCAATTTGTGTCCTGCCTGCTTCTTTCTGATCAAGCTCTTTGCTAATGACCCTTGCCACCCAAGTGGAAGAATTGGATGAAACTCCTATCTTCAGCCTGACTCATCCCTGGCCATTGTGGTTACCTGGGGAGTGAACCAGAAGATGGTAGAAGATCTCTTTCTCTCTCTGTCTCTCCCTCCTTCTCTGTAACTCTTATTTTTCAAATAAAAATAATAAATGTTTTAAGAAATAATAAATGATGGCTAAGATTGCATTGGCTAGAGATGATTTCTCCAACTTGCTACATGTGAAGAAGTGAGAAAAGCTTGAAAAAGACTGTAGCAATAGGAGCTGTTAGCTCTACTTCTAGGGCCAGTGAATAATATACTTTGTTTGAAGCCAAGAATTTCTATGGGCCAAGAATAGGAGAGCTATGAGATTCCAAGATAGTGGATTAGGGAGTGACATGCTGTACAGGCTTAAGGATAAACAGTGAAGAGAGAAGTAGAGGAAGTGTACTCTCAGGGGAAAATTGGAGAGAAAACCACATTGGAAGTCCTACAGGAGGAGGAGGAATGCCACGGACCTGTGTAGACGGTGTGGGCACACAGCACAAGCACAAGCACAGAGGTGAAATCACACTGCAGCAAACCATGGTGAGATAGCCAGAGGGAGAGCAGTGCTTGTGCCTGGACTGGAACCACGGGGGCTGGAAGTTGCTGGTGGTTGCCAGTGGACCCAGTGGAAGTGGAGGGGGCACGACTATCTCACATCAGCTTCCCCACAGTTGCACCTGTTGCCCAACTGAGAGAGGGCAGGCACCATTTTAGATTAGGGCAGCAGCTGTGGAAGCCTTGTGTGTAGGCACAGCAGCTGATTGAGATGGGACACCTAATTGGCAGTGCTGGTGGCAGTGTTGGACAGGCAGCAATATTTGGCCAGTAGCTCTTGTGTGTGTGTGTGTGTGAGTGTGTGCGTGTGATTCAGAGATTCTAGCTGAGGAAACAGTCCACAGTCCCCACTGACTTTGAGCCTGGTGGGAGGTGGCTAAGCAGCCATGTGGGATGATGGGGCTCCTGTAGCCTGCCAGGATCAAGAAGCCTAGGCAGAGATGTCTTGGGGAACATCTATCTTTCTGTTGACTGCAAAAGCTGACAAGGCAGAGAGAAACCTCTGGACCTGGCGACTGTGTGAGCCTTGTGTGCTGAGATTGTGGGGACCCAGTGGTTACATGGGAAGGTGCAAGGTATAGCTGGGTATTGAAATCTACCATTCCCAACTTCAGTGTTGCCCTGGCTTCTTGCCCCACCCTGAGGCACTGACCACAGCTCCCTGGCCACACCCACAACACACCTCTTGGTATTCACTGAAATTGCAGACATTCTACTAAGCCACAGAGGCGTAGCACAAAGATAAAAGCCATCAGAGGGAAAAACTGAAAATCAACTCCATAAATGCCTAAAAACACAGAAATTCAAGAAACAAGGATAATGAAGACACCATGATCCCCCCAAAGGAACACAACAACATTTCTATATTAGAATGCCTAAATGAAGAGATTTGGGAAATGCCAGAAATGGAATTCAAAAATTTAATCATGGGATTACTCAAAAGCAATCAGAAGCATATCCATGAACTAAAAAAAAACTGTACATGACATGAAGAAATCAAAATGAAATATTAGACATGAAGAATTCAGTAGATCAAACACAAAATGTGGTGGAAAGCCTTAACAGCAACTTGGCGGGGCAGAAGAAAGAATATCCAAACTAGAAGACAAATCCTTGGAAATCTTACAGTCACACACACACACACACACACACACACACAGAACCACAAGTAGATAATAGAAAACTTAAAAACAGTGTTGAAGATCTATGGGATACTCTCAAATGACCCAAAATATAGGTTTTAAGAGTTCCTGAAGTTGTGGGAATAGAGAATGCACTAGAAGGCTTATTTAGTATAATAATTACAGAAAACTTCCCCAATTTGGAGGAAAAAAAAGGATGTCCAAATAGAAAAAGTACATGGAACTCCTAACAGACATGACCACAAAAGATCTTCACCACAACACATTGTGGTCAAATTTTCCACCATAAAACATAAAGAAAAATTGTAAAATGTGCATTAGAGAAATGCCAGGTTCCTTTCAGTGAATCTCCAATTAGACTCAGAGCGGACATCTCATGAGAAACTCTACAGGCTTGAAGGGAATGGTGAGATATAGTCCAAGTCTTAAAAGAACAAAAACTGCCAACCCAGGATACTGTTCCTTGCAAAGCTCTCATTTATGAATGAAGGTGATATAAAGACCTTCCATGACAAACAGAAATTGAAAGAAATTTATTGTCACTTATCTAACCTTACAAAAGATGCTTAAGGATGTGTTACATACAGAAACAGAAAGATGGCCATTATTATGAAAGAATGAGATGGCAGAAAATCCCTCACAAGTATGAAAGAAATTGAAAGTAAACAACAAATATTTATGGAAAATGGCAGGGCCAAGTTGTTACTTACCAATAGACACCTTAGATGTAAAATGTCACAACTTTCCAGTTAAAAGCTACAGACTGGCTGAGTGGATTAAAAAACAAGAGCCATCTATTTGCTGCCTACAAGAAACATGTCTCACCAACAAAGATATTCCATGCTGAAAGAAGTGAAGAAAGAGCTGGTGTTGTCATCTTAATATCAGACAAAATAGACTTTAAAATAAAAGTTGTTAAAAAAGAAGGAAGGTACTATGTAATGATTAAGGGATTGATTCAACAGGAAGATGTGACTATAGTAAACGTATATGCACCCAATCACAGGGCACCTGGCTATTTAAAAGAAAGGTTAATGGACCTAAAAGGAGACACAGACTTCAATACGATAGTAATGGGGGACTTCAACACCAAACTTTCATCAATGGACAGAACAACTAATCAGAAAATCAGTAGAGCTAATTGACATTATGGACCAAATGGATTTCACTGATATTTCTAGAACATTTTACCCTACAGTTTCAGAATGCACATTATTCTTATCAGTGCATGGAACTTCCTTTAGGTTTGACCACATACTATGGTGTAATGCAAGTCTCAATAAATTAAAAAAAAATGAAGATAATACCATGCATCTTTCTGTCCACAGTGGAATAAAGCTGGAAATCAACAACTCAAAAATCTCTAGATCATATGCAAACACATGGAGACTGAAAAACATGCTCCAGAACAGTGGGTCAAAGAAGAAATCAAAAGAGAAATAAAAAAATTTCTGGAAACAAATGAAGATGATAATACATCAAACTAAAACTTATGAGATACAGCAAAAGCAGTGTTAAATGGAGGTTTATAGCAATCAGTGCCTACATGAAGAAATTGTAAAGGTACCAAATAAATGAGCTGTCAGTGTGTCTCAAAGACCTAGAAAAATAACACAAACCAAACTCAAAATTAGTAGGAAGAAAGAAATAATCAAAATTAGAGCAGAAATAAACAAAATTGAAATAAAAAATACAAAAATCAATGAAATGAAGAGGGTTTTTTTTGAAAAAATAAAAAATTGATACATCATTGGCACAAACTAACCAAAAAAAGAGGAAGAATATATAAAACAATAACATCAGAGATGAAAAAGTAAATGTAACAACAGGTACCACAGAAATTAAAATAATCACTAGGAATTACTACAAAGAGCTATATGCCAACAAATTGGGAAACCTAGAAGAAATGGATAGATTTCTAGACACAAATGATCTATGAACATTGAATCATGAAGACATAGGAAACCTAAACAGACCAATAACCAAGATGGAAATTGAATCAATAATAAAGGACCTCCCAACAAAGAAAAACCCAGGACTGGACTGCTTCATTGCTGAATTCTATCAAGCTTATTTAAAGAAGAACTAATTCCAATTCTTCTCCAGCTATTTAAAACAACTGAAAGGAAGAGAATGCTCCTAAACTCCTTCTATGAAACTTGCCTCACCTTAATTCCTGAGCTAGAAAAAGATTCAACAAAGAAAGAGGACTATAGACCAATTTCCCTGATGAACATAGATGCAAAAATCCTCAACAAAATATTAGCTAATCCAATCCAACAACACATTGGAATGATCCTTCATCCGGACCAAGTGGGATTTATCCCTGGTATGCAGGGATGGCATAAAAATTCACCAATCAATAAATGTGATACATCACATTAACAAACTGAAGAACAAAAAACTTGGTTATCTCATTAGATTCATAGAAAGCATTTGATAAACTAAAACATACTTTCATGATGAAAATCTTAAGCAAATTGGATATAGAAGGAACATTCCTCAAAACAATCAAGACAATTTATGACAAACCCATGGCCACGATCATACTGAATGGGGAAAAGTTGGAAGCATTCCCCCAAAGATCCAAAACTAGACAAAGATGCCCAATCTCCCCATTGTTATTGAATATAGTCCTGGAAGTTTTAGCTAGAGCCATTAGGCAATAAAATGAAAGGGATATAATTTCTAAAGGAGGAAATCAAACTATCCCTATTTGGAGATGACATGATCCCATATATAGGGGATCCACAGGACTGCACTGAGAGACTTTTGGAAGTCATAACAGAATTTGCTAAAGTGGAAAGCTATAAAATCAACACAGAAAAATCAATAGCCTTTGTATACACAGACAATGTCATGCAGAGAAAGAATTTTTAAGATCAGTCCCATTTGTAATAGCTCCCAAAAGAGTCAAATAAATTGGAATAAATTTAACTAAGGATATCACAGATCTCTGATGAAAATTATAAAACACTAAAGAAAGTAATAGAAGAGGACATTAAAAAATGGAAACATCTTCTATGTTCATGTATTAGAAGAATCAATGTCATCAATATGTTGACAGTACCAAAATCAATTTATAGATTCAGTGCAATCCTAATCAGAATACCAATGACATTCTTTGCAGATCTAGAAAAAAAAATGTGAAAATTCATATGGAAACAAAAGAGGCCAAAATAACTACTGCATTCTTTTACAAAAAAACACAGGCATCACAATACCTGATTTTAAGGCATACTGTAGGGCATTTATAGTCCAAACAGCTTGATAGTTGCACAAAAAACAGACTTGTAGACCAATGGAACAGAATAGAAACTCTAGAAATAAATCCATACATCTACAACCAACTCATCTTTGACAAAGGAGCTAAAATCAATCCCTGGAGCAAG